GATAATGGGGGATAACACCAGATTCGGACATGTTATTTTATATCGAACTATTTGGTCCAACCACCACATTCTACCATATTCACCCATGTAGATAATGGGGGATAACACCAGATTCGGACATGTTATTTATATCGAACTATTTGGTCCAACCACCACATTCTACCATATTCACCCATGTAGATAATGGGGTGATAACACCAGATTGGGACATGTTATCTTTATCAATCTATTTGGTTCAACCACCACATTCTACCATATTCACCCATGTAGATAATAGGGGTGATAACACCAGATTGGGACATGTTATCTTTATCAATCTATTTGGTCCAACCACCACATTCTACCATATTCACCCATGTAGGTAATAGGGGTGATATAACCAGATTGAGACGTAATTAAAGAAGCAATATGAATAACTTTGGTCAATTTTTGAAAAATCTTCCTTTGATACTGCAATTTTTCGGAACCAATTATATGATTTATCAAGAAATAAAAGTGCACTTTTTAGCAATCCCAGAAGTATTCATTTGGCAAAGAAAAGGAAAAGTCAAGTGAACCTTTGTCCTTTTTTTGTGAATGAATACTTCTAAGATTGCTACACAAAGTGCACATTTATTTCAACAAGTCATATAATATTGATTCTTAACAAAGCCATTAAAAATTTTTTTTTAAAGATCCTTAAAAATGCCTCAATTTGTCCACATTGCATCTTTAATGAGTAAAAGTACAGGATTGGGACACATTGGGGAATTAGCAGTGAATTTGGGTTAACCGGGATGGGGGAGCAATGCATCTGTAGAAACAACAAAAGCAAAATATACAGCACTATTAATATTTATTTAAAAAACAACGAAAATCAATCAACCAAAAAAAATTTAAAAGTTGGAAAAAGCTCTGACAGATAAAAAAAAAAATGTGTTCCCTATTTGTGTTGAAACACAAAATTAATTTGCCAAAATATCATTCAGCAGCGGCAACTTCTCCTTCACCTTGACTGTTGTTGTCGCCCTCTTCCTCTCCACTGCTAAAATCAATCAAGGAGAACCTGGGTGCATTACTAGGGTAATCTCTAGTCGACTGGGCACCCACCTTCCTTCGACAGCGTTCGAGTATCACGCCCTTATTCTGAACACGTTTAGCGTGTTTTTCGTCAAGGGACTTGAACAAATTGTTCAATATGACTGATCGCCATGGAAGAGGGTTAACAACAAGGAGTTTTCTCTGGTCTTCAGCATCGTCCTCGCTGCCAGACACTTCACTGGACATATATCCTACTTTCATTGCACTTGCATACAGCTCCTTATCTCCTTCCGGTATTGATCTATTTCTGTTCAATTCTATTACACGCTTGTTCAGTTTCTGTGGAAACAAGAATACAAAAATTGGGTTAGGTTCTAAAATTTGAAGGAAAATGCATCAATTAAAAATAACATATTTGTTTCACTGCTAAAGACAAAACAACACAATGCTTACAAATTTGCTTTACATATGAAAAAAACCTACTTTTGGCTACATCTGAACATTATGTGATACTCATACCACATCTTAAAATGTATGGGTTCATGTGTTGGTAACACAGGCTCTTAAGAAAAAAAAGACTATTAAAGCATTGACTTCCAGATTAATTGTTTAAAGCTGGTTCTCTTGAAATGAACTAGGTGTGTGTTGCTGGGATTTAAAAGTGCATTCATGCAATGATTGCATTCATATTTAGTGTGAAATTCGGTGTGCACTAAAGGTAGCCATAAAATAACAAGCGACCTGATGATTAACTGAGCTCTGCTGCTCTATTGTCAGTGAAATACAGAAGCAATACTAATACACTAGAATACAATTCAACAAAGCAATCAGTATTGGATATTAGGTACATATCGTGACTCAAACAAACAGTAGTTAAACAACACAAACACATAACATAGTTGACAATTCATATGATTGTAAAGAATAGGAAAAAAATAATCAAAAATAAAAATATTCACAAAAATATTAGAAAATTATACTGCCCATCATGAAGGGCAGAATGTCACTTTTAGATTATGGTTTAAAATAAACGTAAATCATAATGTGAAATCAATGTCATTTTTCCTAGTGAGAACTCTGTCCTCTATGCTAATCTTTCGTTTCGTTGGTGTTTTTTTTTAATAGGTGTGTAGGATCGATCAAGGTGTCAGACCACCTGCATAACCAAAAAACAGGGACACCCAGGACAACTAGGGTCAGATGCTGCCACTTAATTCTGTGATCCCTATTACTGAATTGTTTTTCTTTTTAGATTGAAGATATGAGATTGAAGATATATAGGCTACCCATGCATGAACAACTTCAAGAGATAATAGCACAATGTGAATTTATGGCTTTGAAGAAGAAATTAAGCCATTAAATATGGCCTAAAATATCAAAATATGTGGTATTGACACTGGTGAACAAATCTGTGGGACAGCCACAGCTACTTGCATATCAAATTTGAGAGTATTCCGACATATTCTTAAAGAATAGAAGGTTTGACATGAAATTAATTTCACGTACATAATAACAATTCTGAGAGAACCAGCCATGGCACGCATGTATGAATTTTTTGAATCTTTTCTGAAAATATAGTCAAATTCCAATTTTCATAAAAATATTCACTAAACATTTTGACATGAAATGAACCAAATTTTGAAGCGAACTTCCCAAGCATTCAGAATTATAGTTTTGAAGAAGTACTCAAAAATATCAATTTTAACCCAACATTACAAAATTAAGAAATTGAAATGCTGACACGAAATGAACAACCATCGGATGTACTTGCATATCAAATTTGAATGCATTCAGAGTTACTGTTCTGTATTAGAAGTCAAAAGCACAGTGTTGACGAAAGGACTGAAGATAAAAAAAAAATACATTTTTGCTGTATCTTAAAAAAACTTTTTATTAAATTTGAAGGCATGCACGCAGAGTTAGGTATTTGATCAACATTTTAAAAAATATTCACTAAAAATTATCAATTTTATGAGATAATCATGAAAAGGAACCTGTTCATCAAAAGTTGAATATAAATTTTCACCAAATATCAAATATGTGATCTCGACTCAAAATAAACAAGAATAATAGAAAAAACAGTTATATCAAATGTAAATGCATTGTGAGTTATGGAAGTTAAATTTATCAAATATAAAACAAACACACTGAGTGCATGATCATATTCAAAGCTCTTGGAATACAGGTTTGCGAAAAAGAACAAGAATATATTATTGTCCAGTGATTCAAAATGTTTGCTGAAATCAACACAACTCACTGAATATAATCTTTGTTTTCTAGATTGTTTCTTCTTATGTTCGTCATATGTGCCGTTGACCTCCTTCTTTTCCTTCTTTTTTTTACTCATGAAGTATGTCTTCATTGCCACTGGAATATGTAAAGAGAGCGAATTAACAATGGCTATCTCATTTGATATGTACATAGTAGCACATGCATACTTTTATAGACAGGTCGTCTTTGTATTGAGGTTTGACATAATGTTGTTCCAGAAATAATGAGATGGTATTTATTTGAGTTGATCCAAATCAAAGAAAACAAGTTTTACTAGAGGAAATTAAAAATTGTTTTATAAATGACATGGTAAATTTTATTTTGGACTCTAAAACAGTGGTGAATACACAGGTTGCCCATACATTATATGCCTTGGAACTGCCTAAAAGTGGCCTTTTTATAGAGATTTTCTTTCATTGATATCACATGTGGTCAACATATTTTGTTCTGATTGGCATAAAAATTACATGTATCATTTCCTAACTCAATAGGATTTGTAGCTCAGGCAGCTTACTGAATATAATGGAATGTTCAGTATTATCAGAAAGTGTTGATCATGATGTAAAAGAGATATGATAAAGTGGTATAAAATAAAACTATTTTAAAGAACTTCTTGTACACATTCAAAACAAATGTGTAAAAAAACAAATCTTGCTTGACATGTCAGTTGACAAAAAGAGAAACATCAAACGAAAAATAATATGGTACTTTTACTTGCAAAATAACCCAGAAAATTAAAATATATTTTCCTTGTGTTGGATGAACAGTATTTAAGCAGAGTCAACATCTGTTTATAGTTGGCCTGGCAGATCATTGACTTTTTAAAGTCAGTGTACAACATGAGCTCAACTTCCTGTTGTAGTATTATTTGAGGATGATTATTTCAATTGACTCCCTATTAAATACTAAGTTGCTACATAAGGTGTCAATAGCTTCCTGTGTACAACATTAGCTTTATGCAAATTATAATCCTTGATTCAGACTTTAGTAAATGGCCCCTGATATAAGCTGGAATAAGTACCCTTGTCTATTCAAGGAGGGTGATTGTAGTCATTTAATACAGTTTGCAAAATGCATTATGCTTGAAGACAAAGAATAACACCAAATGTTAGATTTAGCAAATAGACAATTATTTGTCCACCTCCCTGACCATGGATCAAACAAGCCTTGAATAGCACACATGTAAAACAGTTGACATGAAATGAGAGATAATAGAACACTTACTAGTAATTACATCATCCTTAACTCCAGGCATTACATTGTTAACACCAAGCAGCACTCTTCTATTAACTTCTGCATTTTCAGCAGCTCTAAACCTGAGAAGCAACATGCATTGTTTCATTACCAACCAAACAATTAACAACTACGGTAGCTATCTTGTGTAATTGCATGAAATTTCCTAGTCTACTCAAAATGTCCTCCTTCTTAAGTGTTACCATCCATGAAATGGCAAACAAAACAAAAATGTTTCAAACAAATAGCTATTCAACAAAACAACTAGTATTGAATATGTGAGTGGTAGTTATAAATTTACACAGGACTGAATATTACAAGTATTTTTTGACAATATTAGCAGGTATAATTATCACTCACCCACAACTTCCTAAGGTCCAACTAAACTCATTTTTCTCTAGCTCCTTGTATACATTTCGAACTTCTGCCTGTAATTCACAACACAAAGTACAGAATATTATAATAAACAACATCCAAACTCATACCACATATGTTTGATATTCAACATAATGATCACAAAAATGTATACGTTAATAATTGTATCATACAAATTTTGGACTGATAAATTTCAATCATACCTGTACTGCCTTCGACGGCTTGACTTTACGTTTCTTTTGTTGCTCAGATAAGGCAACTCTCATGTCTTGCATTGAATCTTTCAACTCATTCTGATAAGCCATCAGCTGTCGTTGATTTTCAATCAAGATATTGAAGCTATCCTCACTGATAGTCACCATACCGGAAGAATTGGACGCCGCAATAATGCTTGTATTGGTATCAAACCCAAATGATCTACTAGTGGATGCTGATCTCATCGTACTGGCAGTGGAACTGGTGGCCGAAGCATTTGCATTGCTATGCCGACGTGACACTGGCGCTTGTCTCAGGACTGGCGACGACGTTGCAGTGGGCATCGGTAACAGATTACTGTTACATAGGCGTTGTTTTTTTCGAAGAACGGAATTCGTTGATAGTGCCATGACAAGAACCGAGTAATAGTATGAGTGGCATCGCACAACTGACCTCCAGATATAGGCACGCTTAACCGGAAAAACAACAAACCCACGTGACCAAAAACAATAGGTCATAGGTTACCGTGACAGACGAATGGTCACGTGCTAAGAAAACACCGGAAAACGTCTAGTCCCATTGTCTAGTTTTAACATAAGCTAACGATTCATCTTGAGTTACAACACATATAGTTTATTTCACAGTTGATTGACGTACAATTATGACAACGAATATTAATGAACTCGGACTTGTTCAGCGTTTTGAAGACTGAATATTTCTGTTCGGTAAGATTTTTTTTATTTAGGCCAGACTTTTATTATCCCTTGTTTCGCGAACCCGCCGAGTGAACAGGAGTCGAAAATGAAATAAAAATATAATTTTATTTCAGCGTAATTTCTCGCGTCCGTCGACTTGTAAGCGCAAAAAAATGATAAACAAATATTATTTTTATCTTCATTTTTTTACCGCTCGCCGCATAACAAATCCAAGTTGCATTTTCGTGGGAGTATCATGATAAAAGTACCGAAGTCTCGCGCAAATGAGCAACAAGGTTATACATGAAATAAAATTTGATTTCATTTCTTCTCTCCGACCATGGATGTACTACTTAGTACATCCATGCTCCGACCAATGATCTCACTTACAATTCTTTGAGAATCACACAAATCTAATGAAAAAAAAAAATTAATTTTATTTGTTTTTCGGCCTCCTCAAAAAAATTGCCTTATAAAAACTCGCGAAACAAGGAATAAAACAAGTCTGGCCTTATCTGTATAATTGTTATTAGTGCACTCTCTAAATGGACTGTGTTATTAATCTATTCCGTTGAACGTATGTGGGTCGGTAATCCAGGGCGAATAATAGGCTGGTTTGTTTATTGGAGGATTTTGATAAAATATACTAATTTCAGCAAATCTAATCTAAAATATTAAACTTCCCTACAGGTGCATTTTGGACCACACTAAAAATTCAAACATTCCGCAACAAACAAAAATCTAAGAATTGCTGAAAAGTACTAGATTGTGGTCACTCTGCATTTTTGTTATTTGCAATTCTCTAAGACAAGCCTACGTCACAAACTGGTCAAAATCCCCCAAGCAACCAATCACAGACTAGCTTAAACAATAGCTTTCCCTGATGATAATACTTAGCAACGTTATTTCCCCCACGCTAACTTTAAAAATCATTTGTTTTTGTCTCGTTTCCGTTTCCGATCTGTCTTAGAGAATCAAGGTACAGACACTCCCTCCTCAGAGATTTTATTATTTTCAAACTGGTAGTTATAATTACCACTATTTTTATACTGGTCAGAGTAATGGTAATTTTTTATTTAATGGTAGAGTGGGTGACAATATAATGATCATTTAATTTTTCATTACATAATAAAATGGTCATTTTTTCATGTCACAGATATAATGGCACATGGGGATTGACAGCTCTCCTCCCTCCTTTAATTCTAAGCCAGTACAATTGTAGGTAAACGTAAATTGTTAAATAATATATGAACGTAAAGATTTTGAAAATTTGAAATATGGAATTATATATCTTAAAAAAATATGAAGTTTTCGGTTAATTTGTTTTTAAAAATACAGACACTTTCAAATCACCACAAATCATGTACTTGATACTGTTGATTTAATAATATATAGTGTAATGCAATGTTATTAAACATAGAAGGTGACCATTTTAAAAATCTGCTCTAGGCCCTTATCACAGGTTAACCAAGGAAGGTACATCCATGGGCTAACAAAGTTTGTGCAAACATTGAGCCTATGCAGGATAAGCACCCAAACTATCATTGTACTCAATGTCCATTTCAAAGTTTATATATATATATATATATATATATATATACTATTATATTATATAGTATATATATACACTATTTATATATACATGTATATATATATATATACTATTATATTCATAACCATACTAAACTTGACAATCAATACAAGCACATTCTTTGACATTATTCTTGAAATAAAAATGGACTGTCAATGGGCCATTCCAGTTTATATCTGCACCCCCCTGTTGATGAGGTCGGATTTCCAGCACTGTATGATGGGGAAAATACCCCGGAATTCCAACTGTATATGGAGAAACAGAATCTGGAAATCTAGACAAGTATGGAAAAAAAAATTCTGGAAATCCAGGCAGTTATGGCTACTAAATAAAATATGGCCTAGTTTATTTCACCACATACCAGTTGATGAGGTTGGATTTCCAACACTGTATGACTAAAAAAACTTGGAATTCGGACTGTATTGGGCCAGTATGAAATAGATAATGATGGTGGGACGAATGAGCTCATCAACACCGTGAATCAGGACTAGTTTGGATTTCCATTATCAGATATAAAATTTTGAACTTGGTAAATTAGCATATGATGAGAGTTATATTTGGAAATCCTACTCTGTATGGTGTCACAAAGGAACTCATCAACACCATAAGTAGAACCTACATGTATAGTTTTGGATTTCCATTACTGTATGGTGAATGGTGATTTGGAAATAAAACTTTGTATGACTTATACACCCATGGAAATTATACCCTGTATGAAGTAAACTCACAAACTCATCAACAGGGGGGGTGCAGATATAAACTGGAATGGCCCAATGAGACTCTGTACTACATCCTGTTCTTATAAAGGCAATGTCCAGCATTATAATACTTTGAACAAACAAGACATTCACTACTAAACCTTCGAAAAGTGTGCAACCCGAAAAATACTCAGCAACTGACTTTCCACCAAAAAAAGTCACATAAACAGCGAGTTACTCCAAAAAGTCACGGGGAGTTACTCAAAAAAGTCACATAAATAGGAAGTTATTAATCCAAAAAAAAGAGCAAAATGTGATACTATGTATTCTTTGTCCCTCTGCCTGTCTTTATGAGTAGGGTTAACCTCAAACATAAAAAAATTCCCATTTTAATAATAATAGAAAAATGAAATTCAGTTTTCAAATACACCGAAACTATAAGTATAGCATTTTGCATTGAAATTACTTAACCAGTAACTTTTCATAATGTGTGTTATAAACTGTAGAAGTTTATGTTGAAGGTCAATGGGAGGCGATTTAAAAGTTGCTTAGACACAGTCAACTAAAAAATACCCATGATGCTCTGCTTCATTTTTATGTTTTGCTATTTTCTCTGTTACGAATGGTTTAATGCGATATGAAAAATATCTGTAAAAATATCTGTATTCCCCGACTACTGCATGTGTACAGAACAGTGTTGGGTGGTCCAGTAGGTTATATGGGGGGGGGGGGGGGGGGTCTAGCATAGAGCTCCATGTGTGTAGCTAGTGAATGGCTTGTTTGTTTGTTCACAGTATTTTCATGCTGGACAATGCAATGTGTTCACATTACATGGAGTACTGGCTAAGATTTAAGCTGATTTAGGCTTATCTCACATGTTTGCATTTTGACTAGACCCAACTGAGTCCATGCACTGGGAGGGCCAGTCCTTAGTACTGGCTAAGAGGCCGCTGATTATGAACGCTAAATTTCTGTTGCTGACATATTTCGACAGTATACAACGGCATTAGAGAATGCTGAGTTATATTAATAATAATAATAATAACTTTACTACGCAACTTAACCATCTGTGGGTTTAGTAAGGTAAAAAATGATTACAAAAGACAAATAAAATAAGACACACAAAAACACTAAAATTAAAATACACTGAAATCAACAAAAGAAAGAAAAATTAGAAAATCTATGGAAAATTGATTAAACAACAGCAAGGTTCTCCCAGACCACAGTTACATATTTAACTTTTAGAAAATTGTATTTTTTAAATAAAATGATAAAGCCATATTATTCCCCATTATTTTCATGAAGCTTTCCATTCTGGACAACTCATTAATTTTTATTTTAAAATAATTCAAGACATGTTTTCTCTCTACTTCATAGGAATTGCAATCTGAGATGAAATGCATTTCATCTTCAATTTGATCTGTGGGTTAGGGCCTGAACTGAGCCTGAACTTTGCTAACACTCTACGTTGGCTGAAGTTTTTCATTTCATTTAGATAGTTTTCTAATTCAAATTTTTGTTTAAATGTTCTATATGTTTTAAGTTTGTTCCCCTCTTTTTTATTTAATTGTTTTCTCCATGATTGAATAAAGTCATTGGATAGCTTTGTTTTTACAACATTGGTTAGTTGATTAATATTATTGATCTTGTAAGTTAATTTTGTCTTCAGCCTTATATCTAAGATTTTAAACGGGACTACAATACACAATACACAATACTGACAAGCCTGTATTCAACATAATGATCACAAAAAAGTATACGTTAATAATTGTATCATACAAATTTTGGACTGATAAATTTCAATCATACCTGTACTGCCTTCGACGGCTTGACTTTACGTTTCTTTTGTTGCTCAGATAAGGCAACTCGCATGTCTTGCATTGAATCTTTCAACTCATTCTGATAAGCCATCAGCCGTCGTTGATTTTCAATGAAGATATTGAAGCTATCCTCACTGATAGTCACCATACCGGAAGAATTGGACGCCGCAATAATGCTTGTATTGGTATCAAACCCAAATGATCTACTAGTGGACGCTGATCTCATCGTACTGGCAGTGGAACTGGTGGCCGAAGCATTTGCATTGCTATGCCGACGTGACACTGGCGCTTGTCTCAGGACTGGCGACGACGTTGCAGTGGGCATCGGTAACAGATTACTGTTACATAGGCGTTGTTTTTTTCGAAGAACGGA